CAATCCAGGATCAGCTTCCAAATATTCAAAATCCTCATGTTGTTCAGGTAGATTATAAGCCAAATTAGCTTCACTTTCAGCAATTACTTGATCCAATTCTTCATTTACTAATGGTGGATCATTTGAATTAACACCCGAACTACTCCGATACTTTGAGTTTCTTTAAATTTGGGTACAACATCAAAATATATGTTCATCCTAAATCGTATAAAATTGAAAATAACATTTATAAACACATGAATTTATTAATTTAATCTAACATTAAAAAAGATATGCAAAGAAAAGCAATTAAAAGAACGACGTAGTTTTGGTATAATTAATTTAAACATAGAAATTGAAAACCCTAAGTTTTGAGCATAAAGAAAATCGCACCAAAAAGCTCGAGAAACGCCATTAATGGAGAAAAGAAGAGAAGAGTACCTTGGTGGCTTGGCCGCTTGGTTGATGATGAAAAGGGAGAGACCGAGAGTCAAGAGAGGGGTGTCTTCGGCACTGTTCGCCAATCGCCACTTCGCCGGTGAGCGTCGCCTCGTCAGCACTTAGGCACTCGGCTGGTCGGCTGTCGCGGTGGTAAGAGGTGGAGGGATCCAACGAGTTGGTTGTGCAGTCGTGTTTCGCAGTTGGGGGAATCGCAGACTCCATCGTGAAAGGAAAAGAGGGGGGTTGGGTCTTTTGTATTGGGCCTAAGTTCTAGAGAGCTGGATCCGCTTTCTTCTACATGCATGACCGTGCCTAAGGCCCAGGCACGGCCGTGCCTTCCCTTAAAGACAGAAAAAATGCCGAAAAAAATCCAACGGGATTTGAACATGGTACCTCCCGCAAGATAGATACTTTGCATCCACGCGTGCTCCCATTCCGCTGCTCCGTTCTTGTGGTTTTAAAGTCGTTTTGGGTGTAAATATACATTGAATAATTAATTTTAAATAATATATACTATCATATAATATATATATATATATATATATATATATATATATATATATATATATATATATAGGATTTTTTCTCGAGGCGCACGGGTCCCGGGACCCCTTGGGACCCTTAGTGGGTCCACCACTAGATGAAATAGTCACTTGCGAGCAAAGAGATAACGTTATTTCCTTTTTGCGTGAAAGAATACATTTTCATTATTGTTCTGCATAATAGGAAATGGTGCAAATGGTGGACCCACTAAGGGTCCCACAGGGTCCCGGGACCCCATGCACTTCCAAAAAAATACCTATATATATTAGGTATATTTTATATAAAATTAAACAATATATGTACACTTAGGTCAAAAACAACAGATGGATTGAGTTAGAATACTAATTTTTTTTAAATTTAGTATTCTAAAAGATCAAAATTTAGTGTATAAAATCCGTGTATACTATTTTTGACTGCATTTATTCACCGTCAATAAAATTGGAGTTTGCATATTTTTATATAAACCGATTTAATAAAATACTACGTATTACTCTAATTAAATAATCATAATTAATGTTTGATGTAATTTGAGTTTGCACCACATATTGTTATTCAAATTGGACTTTGCACTCTGTTTTTTAAAATTTTTGTTTTTTTCACTCCAACCCCATATGAAAAGACAAAAATGCCATCTACTAGGAATATGTTGAAGACCAAGAGAATTATTAATGGAGGAGCATTTTTGTGTTGTCACATTGGGTCGGGGTGCAAAAATAAAGATTTTTAAAAACGAGGTGAAAAGTCCAATTTAGACAATAAAATGGAGTGCAAACTCAAATTACCCCTTAATGTTTTTCTTTGATTTGTTTTATAAGTATTTACTCTGTATGGAATTACAATATACCCCCGTACACATTTTGATTTTAAAAATTTCAACTTCCACTAATTGTATTTTACTTTTTCCGAGTGTAATACAAAATGAAATGATTTTATCTTTTACATGATTCATTTTTTTGAATTAATTATTAAAATTTCTTTGAATGTTAATATTAAATATTAAATTTATGTATTTATGGATGTTTTTCAATGGTTGAATGATTGCTTAGTTACATATGTTGAGAGATGTTTTTGGTATTATCAATGATGATTCTACTATAGAATATATCCAACAAATGAAATCTAGAAGAGTACATTTGTACAATTGTAGAATGAATTTTATGTAATTTTGTGCATTATACTATCTTAATGTTTTGATGATGTACTTTAACCATGAAACTTTATGTTTCTTTAATATTTTACTTCACTTTTTATTAATGGTATATTAATTGGAGTTACGTTAGGGTAGCGACCCCATGACTCAATTTTTCTGGCGCCAAAACTTATTTCATACATGAGTGTGAATTTTATCATGTGTAGTTTACCTTTCAAGTTTATCGTTTTTTGTCCAAGATTGATAATAAAGTATGTCATAATAAACAAATAACAACACAAATGACTTTTATCGTTATTAAGTACTATGAGCTGAAACATATCATAAATAACGCTAAGTCATGGTGGCAAATATTAAGGAGGCGTTTACTTCACTGCTAAAGTCACAATTAGGTTAGTAAGACAGGTGAAGTAAACACGCAAGTTGCTTAAAACGCTGCTTACTAACCGAAAGAGATGCTTAAAGTGCCACTTACTAAGCATATCACCCCCATGTATTAATTAAGCGACACTTTAAGCTTTTTCAGTTTCCGAATTTACCCTTACCTTTACCCCTTACCCTTACCCTATTGCTACCCAACTACCCCGCCCTACCCTACCTTACCTCGACCCCACCCCCACCCATGTACCCCCTACCTTGACCCGACCCCGACCCACCCCTACCCCCACCCCTACCACACCCCCAACCCACCCTTGACCCGACCATACCCACCCCCAACTGACCTACCCCACCCCACCCTCACCATACCCCTTCCCTTACCTTGACCCGACCCCCGACCCCACCCCTACCCCTACCCCTTTTCCTACCCCTACCTCGACCCACCCTCACCATTGACCCGACCATACCCCACCCCACCTTACCCCTACCCTCCACCACCTGCCCTACCCCACCCCACCCTCACCCCTTACCCTACCCCTTTACCCCCTACCACCTTCCCTTACCTTGACCCCGACCCCTTACCCTACCCCTTTACCCCCCTTCCCCTACCTCAACCCACCTCTACCCCCACCCTTGACCTGACCATATCCCACCCCCACCTGGGACGAGTTGGGGGTTGGTATGGGTGGGAGTAGGGGTGGAGGGTAAGGTCGTGGTAAGGGTAGGGGGTAGGGAAGGGGTGGGGCTCAAGGGTGTGGAATTGGGGGTAGGGTGAGGGGTGGGGGTACATGGCAGGGTAGGGGTTAGGGGTGTGGGTAAGCGACTAAGCGTACGAGGTGACCCCACATATTATATTATATATTTGTGTTCATGAATGTTTGTGTGTGTATATATCTATAGGGTTATTTTGGACATTTTAATGTTAAACGGTGTTTTAAATCATTTGAAGTAAACATGAGCTTACAACACTGCTTATTTTATGCGCCGCTTATTAAAGTGAGTCTTAATAAGCACCGTTTAATAACCCGTGAAGTAAACATGTTTTAACACCGAAGACAAATAATGTACCTAGTATTATTTTTCGAAGACTAGCTACAATTTCCTGGCAACCATATATTTCATGGTTTCCAAGTTCCAAAAAGCTTCGTTGTTGTGGTTATGAGAAATTATGAATTAGATTGTTTACCGCTATATACCTCTCATTCCTAAAACTAGTAATGAGTTTATTAGGTGTGCATTATTGAAATTAATTTTTTTCTATTATAATATATACTCAATAGAAATGTGCATCGATATAATATTATAAAATGGTCAATATAATTGATATGTCTAGAGTAAAGAACTATAAATTGTTTTCTTACTAAAATCATTATTTTTGTAATTGTTACTAGTAACTACTAACACCTGAGTTAACAAAGCTAACTATATAATTTTGGACCTGTTTGGTAATATTGAAATTGGCTGATTCTACTGAAATGTATGAAGTTCTGGCTGAGGTGCCTGTATTGGTTGATTTTGCTGATTTATGAAAAATTTATATTTAAAATATTTGTTATTAATAAGTCAAATAAAAATCATATAGAAAAATAGCTAAAATGATCATCACAGTAACTTCAGCCAATACACCCACAAAAGTAACTTTAACATTAATTTTTCTTATTATTACACAATTCAGCGCGTGAAAGCAAAAATTACGTGTTTGATGAAAAAACTAACTGATAAACTTGATAAGCACAAAAGAGGTCACCAAAGTGGCTCTTTGTTTGTAATGAGTATAAGTGCCATATTAAAGTTAGTATAATGTTTTAAAAAGAATTGTACCTTCCGTATTTAAAAGTTTTCTACACTTTCCTTTTCGAGCTGTATTTAAAAGTTCCTTATACTTTCATTTTGATAAGCTTACCTTTTATAAAATACTCAACTACCCTTACTTTATCTACTTTTTATCTTCTCTTTGATACTTTTACGCAGTCTCTACTACTTTTCATATACTATTTCACTACCCCTACTACTTTACTTCTTAAATAATACTCCGTATGTCCAACTTAATGTAGAGAACATTTAAATACAGATGGAGTATGAGTGGGTTTAATGCACTAAACCCCAATGTGATATAGAAATTCGGCGCATTAACCCATGTAATTTAAAAAATGCATCAAACCCCCTTGTGTTTGAATTAATTATGCGCAAAATCACTTCTATGAACAAATCCAGTTGTCAAATAAAAGAAAAATGATTAACATTTTTGTATGATTTAGAGATTTTGACACATTTATTTGCATAGTCGATCAGAATATTAGGAAAAGTGATTTCAAAATCATTAAATTTATTCATAAAGGGGGTTCTGTGCATGATTAATTAAAAGAGTTTGATACATTAAACCGATAATGAGTATATAAGTAAAGTATATATAGTAGAATTAGAAGTAGGAGTGTATAGGAATTGATGAAAAACTCTCCTTTATTATTTCAAAATACAAAAAAGGTAGAAAAAAAGTTTAAAAGAGAAAAAGGATTTCATCACCAGAATAACAATAATTCCATCGAACAACAACCAGAGAATCCCCTCTCATTTTCTACTCCCGTGGGCGGTTTTCGGATTTCGATCACTGACCCAACTTTAAGGCCTCAATCTTTAAAACTTGTTCTTTTCTTAGTTCTTATCCTCATTGTTCGTATTGCTTTCTTGCAGTCAGGACTTGGGGTTTTGACGAAGAATGTTTAATGGGTTCCATAGATCATCCGCAGATCTTGTAATCGCTTGATCTAGACGACGATAACTGAGGTTAGTGTACATCTTGCCAATCTTTCTCGCTAGTGTACATCTTGCAAATCTTTCTCCGGGGATGAAGCTGAACGAGTCGGCAGATTTGATTGTTATGTGGGGGGTGTTTTAGGGCTTAAACCTATACTTGCATAGTAGTTGCATCTGTGCTTCGCACTGTTCAGTTGGGGGAAAGAGAAATTCATGAACTTTGTATATAGTTTTTCTAATAGGCACACTGGATTTGTCTCTTGGAAGACGGATTAGTTGCAAGAATTGACTTTTTTTACTGTTTTAAGTTTTAATTGTCCAGGACGTGGAAGGGATATATTTATTCACTAAACCTGTAAGCTTGAAGTTGCAGGTGGATGGATGTTGGCTTCTGTTGATCGATAACCAAAGCCTGTGAGGTGATTGGATCTTCACCTGGTTACCATAAGTGGTTAGGTTGGTTTCGTGTTTGCTGCTTCTGCAATGTCAGTATCTTTTGTGATTTGTTATCTGTTTTAAACAAATCAATCAACACCTATCGGGCTTTACCTTAAGGTAACTTGAACCACTACTCCCTACTTTCCCAGTGATGATCAAACAGATACTGAACAGGCTCCCCCGGAAGCCCTCCAAGTCAGCTGAAAACCGTGATGGAGGAACCTCTACTTTTCCTCCAAATTCTTCTTCTAATTCAAGAAGCAGTGACTTATCTGGTGCACGTTCAGGGAGTTCTAATGCTATGTCTCTATCGGGGACTAATTCCATTTCTGCGACTGGGGCAAACCACGGAAATAAACTTCTCCATGGTTCAAGTGCCAAAGAGAACGGGGCCTTGGCAGTTTTCCACTACGAAGCATTGCCTAATTTTAGAGATGTTCCCACTTCCGAGAAGCAGAGTTTGTTCATAAAGAAGCTCAACATGTGCTGCGTACTTTTTGATTTCACAGACCCCACAAAAAACATGAAAGAGAAAGATATAAAGCGGCAGACTTTGATGGAGCTTGTTGACTATGTTGCCTCAGTGAATGTGAAGTTCAATGAAACTGCCATGCAAGAGATCGTAAAAATGGTTTCCACAAATCTGTTCAGATCACTTACCCCTCAGCCTCGTGAAAACAAGATTTTGGAAGCTTTTGACTTGGAAGAGGAGGAACCGACGATGGACCCTTCGTGGCCACACCTGCAGATCGTGTATGAATTCCTTCTCAGGTTTGTGGCCTCACCCGAGACGGATGCCAAACTGGCAAAGCGGTATATTGATCATTCCTTTATCATCAGACTGCTAGATCTATTTGATTCAGAAGACCCTAGGGAAAGGGAGTACCTTAAAACAGTCCTCCACAGGATTTATGGAAAGTTCATGGTGCACAGGCCATTCATTAGGAAGGCAATCAATAATATATTCTATCGGTTCATTTTTGAAACAGAGAAACACAATGGGATTGCAGAGCTGCTGGAAATCTTGGGCAGTATAATTAATGGGTTCGCCTTACCACTGAAGGAAGAGCATAAGCTTTTCCTTGTCCGTGCCCTCATCCCGCTTCACAAACCAAAGTGCATCCAAATGTACCACCAACAGCTGTCTTACTGCATCACACAGTTTGTGGAAAAGGATTGCAAGCTTGCTGACACTGTTATTAGGGGTTTATTGAAGTATTGGCCTGTCACAAACAGCTCTAAGGAGGTTATGTTCTTGGGTGAGCTGGAGGAGGTCTTAGAAGCTACACAACCTCCAGAGTTCCAACGCTGTATGGTACCTTTGTTCCGCCAAATTGGCCGGTGCTTGAGTAGCTCACATTTTCAGGTTAATGAATCCATGCTTTTTATTCTCTTTAAAAATTGTACGGAGTATTTTGTAAGTTTGTTCTAAAACAGAGATTGCATTTGTCATTTGAGTCTAAGCTGATATCTCCCAAGTCAATGGTTCTATTTGCTCATTTGGTTTATTTTGTTTGATTCTCCTTTTTCGATACATATTCATCCTCATCCCTTTATTGGTCTAGGCAATTGTCTAGGGTGTGACTTTAACAACGGTCTCAAATATAAAGTACATTAGAGATATTAATTATTAATATCAACACTCGCTAAAGTTAATACATGAAGTTGGGCTGTTAAAAGTTGTCATTGGGATCTATAAGTATTAAAGTAGACACATTGTGATGCCTTTTGATGTTAAAAAATAAAAAAGTGTTGTTAAATTTCACTTGTAGTTAATTAATATTGAATTGTAATTAAATTTTGAGTTACAATATTGTAATCTTTAGACTACAATGGATCACATTAATATTTAGTTGTACACATTGAAAATAATCAATATGAACAAGCACCGAGGTAGAATTGATGTTGACAATTTATTTTAAGTTTTGCAATGAATGAGCAAAATGAGGCTAGCGTTCTTATTTCAAACCTATACTATATATGTGCACACACATATTCATTATGTGACTGTAAATTATATAATATCCCTGTTGTTCACCAAACAAGCATTCTAGACAAGTCCAAGATGAATCTATCTGTAACATGACTAATGCTAGTGTCCAGGACCTCAAAATCGCAAAGGGATGGCCCTGTTCATTCCTAGGATTGCTATCTTGTTATCTCACTTTTTAACAGTTTATCTATCAACCCACATCAAATACTTATTTTGAGTTTTAGTAAAAAAAATTAGTTTGAGTTAAATTATTTACACTAGTTCTATATTTCGGTGATTGTTTTTTTCTTCAAATTTTACACCGTGCACTCTCATCTCATCTCAATTTCTTAACTACTGACCATTTTATATCATCCTATATTTCCTATGGCCATTTTGTTTTCTCTACCTTTGGGTAGTTACTGCCAGAAATGTCAGTTGGTCAGGTGGTTGATGAAATCTACCTTCCAACTGCATATGACTTTTTGCACACTCAAAAATTGGCCATACTTATCTACTTCCATCAATCATTAGTTCTACAATTAGCCCATCTTTTTCAACATAACATAACCTTATGTCTAGTGTGACATCTATTTACCACAACTCCACAAGAATACCACCTTTTGATGTATCATTTCTTTGTAGATCATGAACAGATGGAGACTGTGCTTCTAAACAAAATATGTATTCCATTTCTTTCATTTTTAATTTTTATATTTTATAACCATTGCTTACCAGTTACCACTCTTCTTCACTGCATGCCTTTTCAGTAGTTTTTATTTTATTTTAAATTTCACTAAGAAATGGGATCAAACATTAAATCCTCTGGTTTATTACCTTGTAGTTGGTTGGGCTTATATGTCCTCTTACTAATCGCCCTGCACTTTCTAGGACAGCATACACGACTTGTGGATAAGTCAAAATGTATTTCTTACTAAAACTTATCTCTCTGGTTGTGTTAATGAGTTGGCATCCATTAACATTTGTCATGTAAGAAATGAGAAAATGGAAAATCCCATTTATTATCACTTGTTATGTGCTCTCTTGGAGGAACCACTTAGAGGAAGGCACAAATATATTTTTAGTCCCTACAAATATAGAATGTTGTTTTTAGATCCTTCCACTTTGTTTTCTTCATCCATGCGTTTTATGCTATTCTCTCTTCAGTTCTTGTATAACATTCGAGCAATCTCAGTTAAGGAAAAATTTAATGCGGCTTGCTCCATCATTTGCAATGGAGCCAAGGACTCATTATTTTTTGGCTTAGGAATTTGATGGAATAAAGCAAATTGACTCACTAAACTATTTGCGCTTCTTTGTTATGAAGCAGCAGTCAGTCCATGCAATTTTCGACGCGATTTTCACTATGGGTCATCCGGAAACAATCTCGCTGTGCTTTTGTACAGGGGTAAGACTGCGTAAATCCGACCCCCCTTACCCCACCGTTGGTGGGAGCCTTTGTGGCACTGGGGTAATGATGATGATGCATTATGATTCTAATCTTCCAATGTCGATTGTTATAACCCCTTTCGTAGACTATTAGTTGGGATAATCCGAAACGCAACTAATTATTCATGTTTTGAATACAGATCTCTATGGCTCTCTATAGACGAAATAACATGTATTTCTTAAAAGCGAAATGATTTGAAAGGAAGATTGAAATCATGCTAGTCAAGTAGTCATGCCATTTTTTGTTAAACAGAGATTGTTTTAGGGTTAAAGTCTTGGCAGAGGCCTCTTGTCAAAATGAAAAGGGAAGGCTTGCTCCTTATACCCCCTTGTCGGGGGACCCTTCCCTGGACCCTCATCTTGCAGGGACCCAATGTGCATCGGGCTACCCTTTTTTATAGACATTGTTTATTGTTATAGGGTTAAAGAGGGACTGAACATAAAATAGCATAAATTGCATAAATGAAAAGCAAACAAACTATTCTGCAGGCACTTGAAACAACGACTATATTTACAATGACTAAAACCATATTTTGCGCAAACTATTAAGATCGGTTGGAATGAGTTTATACTCCATGTTCCCTATCCCTGAACCCTCTCCACATTTTTCATTTTTTTTGTACAGGTGGCCGAGAGAGCCTTGTTTCTATGGAACAATGATCACATTGAGGGCCTAATAAAACAGAACCGAAAAGTTGTACTGCCAATAATCTTCCCTGCTCTGGAGAGAAATTCCAGAACCCACTGGAACCAAGCAGTCCAGAGTTTGACCCTTAATGTCCGCAAACTCTTCTCGGACATAGACCCTGAGCTTTTCGAGGAATGCTCGCAGAAATTCCAGGAAGATGAATCCCGTGAACATGAAGTCATGGTGAAACGGGAAGCAACCTGGAAGCGGCTTGAAGATCTTGGCGGCATTAAAGCCGCAAGCAATGAAGCGGTACTTGTCTCTCCAAGGGCGGCAGCGGCGGCCAGTCGTGGCGCGACATCTGGTTAAACTCTGGCCAGGACCCACATCTTGTTTGTTTGTATCACTGACTGAGGAGTTGAATCATCATAACAAACACTGAGGGAGTGAGAAAGATGGATCTCTACACTCATAAATGCATTGAAATTTCTCCAGTTTCACGGGCGACGCTGCATTGATGGGGGGCTGTACATATGGGAATTGGGGTTAAAGAAGTGTCTCCATATTTTATAACTTGAGTCAATTTGGATGATATTAAAAACCTGGCATTCTCTCGGTTTGACTAGGAATTATAGGGTGGCTTCATTTTGCAGGACCCCTAACTCCTCCCTAGATGATTTTGAATTTTTAGTCTTTGTTATCATTATTCTGTGTACTCCTCCCCTATTCTGCACTTATCATATATCCTTATTTGTACCATTTTTTTAATACAATTCTATATATGAGAAGTTTAAGAAATGGTGGCTGCTTCGGCCTTCTGTAGGATGTAGTTCAAGAATCTAATTCCTAAGAGACTGTCTTCTTTTTTGTTATTTCTTTTACAGAAATTTGTTCAAACTTTTCTTAAAGAATTGATTAGTGATTTGGTCGATAATGTAGGATGAATAGAATGAATTTTCTCTTTCTAAGAGCATCTCCAATGCTACAATGTGCACGGTGCATATGTGACATGAGAGATAGACACAAATGATTAAATTTTCGGCATTTCTCTCTCCTTTCCACGGTCTTATATGTTTTTGGTAAAAAATTTCCCACAATGCCAAACACAATGTCTAGATATAGATATTGTAGTTGACATTGTGGAGAAAAACTTACCAAAAACATATAAGAGCGTGGAAAGAAGGAGATAAATATTCTATTTGTTATTTTTTAATTGACTATTTCTCATACCACGTATGCACGATTCACATTTTTGCATTGGAGATGCTCTAAAGTGTTGCGCAAGTACACAGTCAGTAAGTAATATCACATGATGTTGATGACTACTAATATATGGATTGAATGATACTCCGTCATACTTTTAGTTTTTTACTTTTTTGTGTAAAATGTTTTTATCATTTAGAGCATTTTATAAATTTCTTTTTAATCCTGTATTCCGTACATAATATTTTTATACAACAGCTTCTGTATAATTTGACTATAATTGCTATCTTGCAATTTATCAAGGACGAATTTGGGATTGCAATTGCGTTAAAATTTGATCTCTATTGAAAAGTGAAAACACATGATTTGAAAAAATAGGTTTGAAATTTTTATAAGGTAACTATTCTCAATGTACGATGACATCCATTATTTTACCTAAGTTGTCAAAGTCCGAAACAACAAAGAGCCTTGCTTGTTACTTAGTGTACACTTTTTTTGTGTACACCTTTGACACACTTTATACACAATTCTATCTACGAAGACATAAAATTGTGTCAAAGGTGTACATAGAAAACATGTACATCAAGCATTTTTCAAACAAAAATAACTGTCAGAGTAATGGAAACCAAAACAACAAGTAGGGCCGTCTAATGAATTTGGAGGCCCCGGTTCTAAATGTAAATTAAGGTCCACATTAATATGAAAAGTTAAAAAAATCTCAATCTAAATACGTAGAGTGAAATCAATTGAATACACGTTAAAAGAGAACGAAAAGAGTGAAAGGACCAACGAAAAAAATGATGGATCTATATTTTTCTTCCTTACTAAATGTATTTTATTGATTAGTATTAATATATAATATTACTATATAATACTAATAAATTTTAAAAAAATTGGGGCCCCGTAAATCCAGGACCCCTGTTCTGGATAACCTATTGACCCCCCTAAAAACGGCCCTGCCAACAAGCCAAGATAAACTGTACCTGTGGTATATTCTCCCCCCTTTTCCTACTTTTTATACCTAATCTGTCACGCCCCGGACCTACCCGGACACGTCAACAACCCGTCGTACAGTACGAATAGTCAACTGCAATTCAACACATCCATACTATACAAAGCGTCTGGAATATCATCACACATAGTACATCCATAAATAAATATAATGTAAAAACATTCATTTACGCAGCGGAAACATTAATATAAGAGTTAAGCCACAACTGACAAACTTAGGCATACAAGCCTCCAAATAATTATCCAAAATAATATCCATGAGCATTCCTTAATTTTTTTTTTCAAAATAGAAACGAAGGAAGCACGAACCAAGTCTTCTTCCTCCTTCGATCTCCCCGAAACAACGGGCGGTGGTAGAAACCTTCAAGTTCTACCTGAAACTGTGAGGTGGCCTCCCCCGTGAAGGGGAGGTCAGTACTTTGAAGCATTTGAAAAGTACAACGACAACTACACTGTATATAATCAATGTTTCAATTTCTAAGACCCACAATCTAGGGTGATATTATATTATAGGCCGTAACCCTCAGTTACCCTATTTAAAACCTTCTTACCTTATATATAAGGTCAAGTAGTCGGTCCGTGGGCCCATGCTTACCTTATCACTTCTTTTCACTATAGCAGAGTCACACTCACCTATGTAAATTCGTCGTGCTAGAGGCTGACTCTGGTCACTCCATTTCGTGCTAAAGGCTTCCTCTAGTCGTTCTACATTATGCTAGAGACTTCATCTAGTCATTTCTCGTTGTGTTAGAGGCTTCCTCTAATCACTCTTCATTGTGCTAGAGGCTGACTCTAGTCATCTTACGTTGTGCTAGAGGCTTCCTCTAGTCACCTTTCCATATGTTAGAGGCTTCCTCTAATCATATCATTTAGATTCCTAAGCAACTCCTATGCCTAGAATCACTTTATATTGAGTAGCCTTTGAGGCCTACTCCTAGCTTAACTTAGCATTTACACATTCCTACCTTAAAGTATCTCATTTTTTTTGGTGAAATGTAAATATATATATAGTAACCAAAAGTTATGTACATCGTGGCAAAATTAGAGGCATATCCAGGTATGGATATCCTATACATCAATTGCTATACTAGCAAACCTCTAGATCAGAGATCTAGCCAAAAGAAACGTAGCAAAACAGCCAGCCATCAAGCCGTGACAAAAACTTTCAAAAATTAATCATATGGTATGGATAGAGAGAATAGAGAACTTTGTACACCATATACTTGATATGTGTAAACATCTCATCCAACTTCAAGGCCGCACCATCAAAACGAATTGCATTTCGAGTTTGCCATATCCAATATATAGTGTAGCTAAACGCTATTCTTGTTGCTTTGGCTCTAATATGCGCTCCTTTGCACTCCCTTTGGGTCCACTTCACCACGCTCTTCAAGGATGCCATTTGTCTTGAAATACCAAGCCAATCTTTGACATTATTCCAAAGTTGCCCTGTACATGTACAATCAAAATATAGGTGTGGTACCGTCTCCGGTTCACCCTTACAGAATGGACAAACATTAGCAACATCAAGATATATCATGTTATCATACGTTGGCAGCCTATTCCGAAATGCTAACCACATTATAAATGAGAATTTTGGAGGGATGTAAGCCTTCCAAATGAAAGACATCCACGCATGTGGTGTGGCTTTAAGTCTAAGGAGGTCATATACCTTGGAAGAAGATAATTTACCATTAAAAGTCATCTTTTCAAGGTATGTAGTGGTCTCGGCTATAGAAGAGAATTTTGAGACAATCATGTCACGTATCAATGTCAATCTCTTCATTAATTGTGAGTCCCTATTGTGTGGAACAAAGGTCCACACACAACCCCCATTTAGGTATACCCCATGAACCCACCTTACCCAAAGAGAGTCTTGTTTTGAGTGGATATTCCATAAAGTACGAGATAGTAATGCGTTGTTCCAAATCTTTGTGTCCCTAATACCTAGACCTCCTTCCTTTTTAGGTAAACATACATCTTCCCAAGCCACTTTTGCATGCTTTCCCCCCAAAGAAATATACGACAAAGGCTTGTAATTCTATCCAAAATGGTTTTAGGAACCGGAAAGATTCCTAACCAAAAAGATTGTACCCCTTGTATGACAGACTTTATCAACTCAACTTTCCCCGCATAAGATAAGGACTTGGTATTCCATGCATTTAAATAATCTGTAACCGTATCAATCAAAGGAGAGAATTGGGCTACAAAGATCTTAAGAGGGGCCAATGGTATACCTTTCATAATTCAAGCCCTTAGGATTTATTCTATCAATTTTCATACTAACATTTCGGCTAGTATTTCAATGCTAACCAATTTATCTTAGAACAATCACGTTCAAATTCATAATCATATTGTTCCTCTCAATCGATTTTCCAATTCAAATATGATTAACTCTTAATATAAAAAATATTACCTTTATCCATTCATGAATTCTCTACCTGAAATAAAAGCATATTTTATCACAATCTTTCACAATTTATTTCATTATCATGTCATCATATTCATAATACACAATCATACACAATTTCTTCCAAATTTGTATTTCATGCTATATTTACTCATATACAATGCTATTTTCATTTAGGCATTATTAATCATCAATAATCCATGACAATCACATTTAATACTTTAGGTAATCATATGAAATTAACTCGCTAATTATAAACAATATAGTCGGTCATCCTCACCTCGAATGAGCTTTAAGAAGTTCTACCCTTCTCGATTGAACTCCGGTGAAACTCCGACGACAACTAGGAACACTTTAGTCAAGCTCCTACCAAGGTTTTATCATCACAAAACCCATATCAACACAAAAATCCTCTAAAAGGTTATTTTCCGGCGAACCGGTCATTTGGCTTCTAAGTACATTCTTGGACTTAGAACTACCTTCCAACCCCTTATTCTACAATTATCAACATGTAGAATAATCCTAGGGTCCTTCATAACTTTCTCAACTAATAGTATATTCAAGAAAGAGAGAAAGAAAGGTTAATGAAGCCATTACCTTAAATTCTCAAGCTTTTCTACACTTTTAGCCACTTAAACCCTTCCATTGAGATCCTTCTTGCTTAGGTGGTGCTTGGCTATGGAGAAAGAAGTTGCAGAGGTTTCTCTTCTCTTCTTTGTGTGCCTTGGCCGAAATTATGGAGTAGGCCCCCCTTGTACCTTTGATAGACTCCTCCCACCTCCTCCTTGTCTCAAAGATCAATAAGTCACCTTAGAGTCCAGAAGTGTGGGAGGTCACCATTTGAGAGGTGCGAATTCCTGGGTTGGCCCCCACACATGTGGGAGGTCACCTTTTGAGTCCAGAAGTGTTCAATCGGCCCCGAAATAAAATATAACACATGTTCCTGATCATTATAGGCCCTTAGAATGGATGTACGTTCCTCAACTTTAATTTAGAAGTCCCCGAAATCCATTTCAGGCTATTATCCGATAAATTATCAATATCGGTAATTCGACCTCGTTTGACCAACGGGTCAACTCTATGCCCTTTCTATGGTCCAACTAAAACATCCACCACCATATACATATTATTTAGACCAAGATGGATATAATATGTGGTTCTGAAATTATCGGGCGGCCCCCGTTCTCGGTGTGGGGCCCACGTGTGATTTACTATTCACGCAAAAGAAATAACAAAAATTTACAACTTCGCAAATTTCATAATTCATTCTTCAAGGTTTATTACATGATTTACTGAAAAGTAAATATGCTTGGGAACGGTATCACATAATCAATTTTACTTTTTTGTTTTGTTTTCGAGATTACTCTCAATGACTTACAATTTGATTCGTAAAATCTGTAAAAAAAGCAGTAGCCAGTAAAAAAGCAATGAATGCTAAGGAATATAAAATATTCAAATCTCCAAATTATATATTACCCCCCAATCTCTTTTTTATTCTCTATTTAATACGTAGTAATGTATTTGTTATTTATTTTACGATATTTGACAAATAATAAATCAAACTCATCACAACAATATTATACTTGTATTAATAATTAAAACTGACTCATTAAAAAGCTACCACATAAATTATACTGTTAAAATCAAATTCAATTACAATAAAAACTAGACATAAAAACAAAAGATTGTTAATAATGACACCAACGATTTAATTAAACTTGAGGCGACGTTTGCATTTTTTACAAGAATATTACTAAAATAAAATATATTTATATAAATATGATTATTCATTACTATAATGTGGTGTTGTGGTAACTTAAGCTCAAAATTTGAACAGAGTTTTTGCCATTTTTGGTCCCTCGACTATTATGTCAATGACACTTTTGGTACTCGACTTCTAATTTTTCCATTTTTAGTCCTCGACTATTGTGCTAGAGACACTTTTAGTCCCCGACTTCAAGGTTTCCCACATTTAGTCCTTGAGTATTGTCAAATTGACACTTTTAGTCCTCCCATTATGATTTTAACACAATAAGTGGAGGACTAAAAATGTCACTATTATAACAGTTGGAGGACCAAAAGTGTCACTTTTATAAAAGTTGAAGGACTAAATATGGAAATTTTCAAAGACGGGTACCAAAAGTGTCTCTAGCGCAATAGTCAAGGACTAAAAATGGAAAAAATCAAAGTCGAGTACCAAAAATGTCAATGACATAATAGTCAGAGGACTAAAAGTGGAAAAAACTCAATTTGAACATGAATTACTATGATTTCATTACTACTCCAGTCATTAGTCATATTTTTGTAAATCATCTTATTTTGATCATATTTATGTAATTATTTCTAATTAATTACTCCAAAAGTGAATTTGCAGATTCAAACAGAGTTATGATTCCTCATTTTTGCTTCATTCTTAAGTCACTTGGTCCAAAAAGAGTCTTTCTTTTACAAACTTTTTTATTTTTGCATCTTACACAAAAAATACTGTACTTTTGCAGAGTGGGAGGGTTATTTTCTTTCTTAGCAACGAAAAAGAAAAGAAAAGAAAAGAAAACTATCTGCTGATCTTATGCTCTATCAGTGATCAGATAGAGCTCGTCCACCACATCCCGTGATTCTCTCTTCTGTTAGATCCTTACAAAGCACCGGATTTTTCTCCATTTATTGTTTTTTTCTTCTGAAACTGGGAAATGAGCATTTTTCTACCACTCTTCTTCTATCCAACTATTTCCTATTCGCTAGATCTCCGCTCAGGTAAGTTTTTAGATTAGATCCATAAATAGTTCCAACATTTTCAATATATTCTATGCCGTATGCCCTGGGCAGGACAGATGAAGTCACTGAGGATTTAGTTTTGATCTTCTCCGAGGAATGCAATAATTTGGGTCGTTGAATTATGGCGGCAAGTCTGAGATTTTCAGGCCTAAGAGCGAGTCTGAGAGTAGCAGCTTTGGTCGTTTTTGTGTTGTGGATATGTGTTGCGGCATTGTACAGCCTGACAAAGCCGATATCCAATGGGTGCATCATGACTTACATGTATCCTACTTATATCCCTATTCCCTCGCCGGAGAATGTATCATCCACCAAGTATGGATTGTATCTGTATCATGAAGGGTGGAAAAAGATTGATTTTGAGGAGCACCTTAAGCATCTTACCGGGGTTCCTGTTCTTTTTATCCCAGGCAATGGCGGAAGCTACAAACAGGTAATTCTCCCACACCCTTCTTATCTGCTTACAACTTCCACCTGCACTATTTCCTATAGCTTTGTTACTCGATTTCTGATATGCCTGCATAAGTCTTCTGTAAAATTGATTGCTATAGCACATTCGCGTTCTGTTGAAAACTGAGTGTGTATTCATATAATCTTGAAAATCCTAATGGATGTCTTGTCTTGTTAACGTAAAATAAGTTTGAATTATTAGATTTGCTTAACAGGAAACACTGAATGGTGACACTAGTTCTTAATTTAGTTAATCATTCGCTCCCAATTGTTTGCTACAGGTGAGATCCATAGCTGCAGAATCTGACAGGGCTTATAATGGAGGGCCTTTTGAGCAGTCATTTTACCAAGAAGCCTTTAAAACCCCGGGCAGTGGTGTTCAATTTGATGCTAGAAGCATTCCGTTGCCAAGCAAGTATGCATGCATGCTCGACTGGTTTGCTGTGGACCTTGAAGGTGAACACTCGGCACTGGATGGACGGATACTTGAAGAGAACACAGAATATGTAGTATATTCTATTAACAGGGTATTGTTTTTTTCATATGATGATCCTTGGGTGCATGTTAATGGACTATAAAGTGTAGTACTCCTCAACCAAAAATAAAGGATGCACGTACACTCTTCTGTTGTCTTTAGTCTCTTTATCCAAATGTCTGCTGTGACTCATGTTAGGTTTTGAAGGCTTCACTTACCAGTGCTCTAATATTTATTTATTTTTCACTCCACCTTGGCATTTACATTCCGTTAACATTTACGGTATTTGCAAAGGGGAAGTCTTGAATTATTAGTAAAAGGATAAGTTATCAGCAACCCTTAGTGTAAGAAGAGATTTGTGAAAAACCATTATCTATGACAGTAATATATAATGGGATTTTTGCTCTCCACCATAACCCACCATCCACCATTAATAACAGAAGTACATGACATGCCATTCTAACCACTTCTTCCCTGCCCCAAAAGCATGTGAGCCATCATTATGTAACATTTACCACATTCTCTCACCTCCTATGTATTTTGTGCATATGTTCAATTTGATTTGTTATCTCAACTGCTTTCCCGGCTCCTGCATTTCTCTGTTTTAATAATTTTAGCTGTTGTATTGTGTCTGTTAGATTTTGTGCACATGTTCAATTTGATTTGTTATCTTAACTGCTTTCCCGGCTCCTGCATTTCTCTGTTTTAATAATTTTAGCTGTTGTATTGTGTCTGTTAGATTTTGGATCATTATAAAGACTCTCATGATGCTCGAGTTAAAGAAGGTGCCAATGTATCTATGAATTTCCCAAGAAGCGTTATGTTAGTTGGTCATTCCATGGGTGGTTTTGTTGCTAGAGCTGCAACTGTACATCCACATTTGAGAAAATATGCAGTTGAAACAGTCCTGACACTCTCTACCCCACACCAGTAAAATGCAGTTTTTTGAAAATTTTATCTTGATTGCAGACCAAACATGTGATGTAAACTGATACTCTGGTTTCCCCATCTAGGTCACCTCCTCTAGCATTGCAACCATCCCTTGGGCAGTACTATGCACATGTTAATCATGAATGGAGGAAAGGGTATGAAGTCCAAACTTATAGATCTGGGCGTTATCTATCTGATCCATTGCTGTCTCATGTGGTTGTCGTCTCTATTTCTGGCGGTTATCATGATTACCAGGTACACACATCTCCAGGTCTTGCATTCAATTAAATACCAGAGAAAAACAATTTTGTATGGAGTATGTAGTATATGTCATATCTATCAATGATGTCATTTTAAGCAATCAAATTTAAAAATTGAAAACCCATGTTATTCTAGAAAGAAAATGTATGCAAGGGTGGTTATGCTTTTTTCCGTATTCATGATATCCTCTATAGCCTTTTAACAAACTTGAATGTTTTCTTTACATTTTTTATATAATAATATGTTCTAAATGAGGTGGACACACAACATTCCAGGTCAAGACTGAAAATTGGTGATTCCACGTTTTTAGGCGAGTTAGTTATTGGGTTGGTCATTAAACATGATAAGGGGATTAAGTTATCTTCTTCTCTTGCATAGTTGCTTGCTTCCATGATATAATCTGAGACACTATGTAGTTCTGTAAACTTTTCTTTGTTGAATGACTAACTTACTCCCTGTTACGTCTATCATTTATGCAATTGTGTGTAATCATGTTGCTTCACCATAATCGTTGCTTTATGCTTCTGTGATTCCTTAATTATAGGTGCGGGCAAAACTAGAGTCCCTTGATGGCATTGTCCCTTCCACCCATGGGTTTATGATTAGTAGTACATGCATGAAGAATGTCTGGTTGTCAATGGAGCACCAAGTTATAATGTGGTGTAATCAGCTTGTCGTGCAAGTGAGTGATGTTTCTCAACTCTCAAGTGAATCCATAATTCCATATCGCTTTCACCATTGAAATTCTGAATGCTCCTACTTTTCAGGTGTCACACACACTTCTTAGTTTAATAGATGACAAGACCCATCAACCCTTCATGGATGTACAAAGAAGGCTTGGAATATTTACAAAGATGCTTCAAAGTGCTATACCTCCAAATTTTGATGGGATACAGCACATACAGTTACCCTACCAATTATCTCATGTTTCTTCTAGCAATCGGAAACCTAGTTCTGGTATCCATATTCTATGCCTTCTTGAGTAATTTGTATCCATATGAAATGCTAATATGCTATGATTGCTATCATATTTTTTTGAGTATGTGCTATTATACTTTTCTCTATAGTTGTCGAATCATGAATAGTTGGATTCACTTCTGAATCGTGACCCTGATTTGCATTGTATGCTTCAAAAACATTGATGGTGTTCTAAATTCTAAATGTACCACACCACATGGTTTATGGACAAAAGTTACATTTTACATCTAATATATTCTCAAGAACAATACCGTGTTACCAAATAACATCTTTGTTTCTCTTTTTAGCTTTTACGCTTAGGGAGCCACAGAAACTACATGAAGAAACAGACCCACTAATGCGCACATTAACTGAAAGTCAATGGTAGTAGTATATGCGAATCAAAGTGAGAAGTGTCCATAAAAAATGCACAAATAAACTAAAGTTGTAATACTTGTATTAAAAATACAATCTCTAAGTCCTAACACACATTCAAATTGATTCATGCGATGCACACAATTTTTTTCTCCATTTCCTGTGCAATTATCAATTTTGTATTCATGTAGTTGGAATCTCAAATCAAACTGTGTTATTCCTAATGTGAATAGCAAGCATGATACAAATTTCACTTTTCTCTATTATATTTTTCTTTGGGGGTGTCTCTTGACATTAATTGAAATCTAATGGACCTTTCTACACTATATTTGGACATCATTATCATCATCAACATTACCCCAGTACTGCAAAGGCTCCCTCCTTTGGTGGGGTAAGTGGGGGTCGGATGTACGCAGTCTTACCCTTGTACTAAAATCACAAAGAGACTGTTTCCGGATGACCCATAGTGAAAATCGCGTCGAAAATTGCATGGACTGGTTGCTGCTTCATAACAAAGACACGCAGACATTTTAGTGAGCCATTTTGCTTTATTCCATCATATTCCGAAACCAAAAAATAAGATTCTTTAGCTCCATTGCAAATGATGGAAATAATGAAATTCACCAAATGGCTAGACTGTGTTTTCGGAGTGGTGTGAACTTTACTTTTGACGCACCATAAATGAGTTCCAATTGATTTCTATTCGGTAGTGTTGGTGAAATGTAATTTGACGATTAATACCCTGGGTCCCGTCATACTTTCATTTTAATCAAATGTTGGACATTATGGTGAAAGAGTTCCAATTGTCTTTGGCTCCATCATTTCGAATGGAGCCAAAGACTCACTATTTTTTGGCTTGGGAATATGATGAAAATCTGGAATAAAGCAAAATGGTTCACTAAACTGTCTGCGTTTCTTTGTTGTGTAGCAACAGTCAATCCATGCAATTTTCAACGTGGGTCATACAGAAACAGTCTCTGAGACTGTGCTTTAGTACAGGGTAAGCTGTGTACATCCTACCCCCTTACCCCACCCTAGGTGGGAGCCTTTGCGGCACATGGGTAATGTTGTTGTTGTTGTTGGACCTTATTGTTAATTGATTTATTGGGATGCAGGACCCGAGGGTAGTAACTTTTCTTGCCCTAGAAGCACCCATTGGCTTGATGATGGACTTGAAAGGGATCTTTACATAAAAACAACTACTGTGACCATTTTAGCAATGGATGGAAGGAGGCGTTGGCTGGATATCCAGAAATTGGTGAGATAAAATTATAGTTCGTCTACAACATACTTGTATCATCTTTAACTTCCTTCTCCAGACAAAAGACCAATGGCTGCATACTCATGAACATGGTTACTATAAGAGTTTCCGCTTTGGTTCTTCGACTATGGTGGCGTTGTCTTTTTAAGTCCTTAACTATCAATTTGACCTCTTTTCCTTGACTTTTTGAAATTTACCAAAGTTCAGTAGTATAAGTGTATTTTAGATATTATGGACTGAATTTGATATATTTTGAAATGTCGAGGGATCAAACGAGGCCATCTTCAAAGAGAGTGTTGAGTATTAAGAGCGGCAATGCCACTATAGTTGAGATCAAAAGAGATTTACATCTTAACTTAGTGTTTATTACAGTTTTCCATTGAGAACTTTCATGCCTGCTACTTGCACCATAAACTGTCGTTGTTGATTTACCACTCTCTTGGAATACTCAGGGAGCAAATGGAAAAGGTCACTTTGTTTTTGTCACAAATCTATCTCCTTGCTCTGGGGTAAGACTACACCTTTGGCCTGCAAAAGGAATCTTGACTTCAGATATTTCTGTTAATAAACGGATCGTAGAAGTAACTTCAAAGATGGTAAATATCCCCTCAGGACCCGCTCCAAGGCAGGTATTTGTTTCTATGAACTCTTGTTTTTGACTAATTGCTGACTTGCTGTATAAGTAGTAGATAACTTTTCCTGAAATAATTATTTAATAGATAGAACCCGGGAGTCAGACTGAGCAAGCACCTCCTTCTGCCATTTTATGGTTGCGTCCAACTGATATGGATGGCTTTCGATTTCTGACAATATCAGTGGCACCTCGCCAGGTATTTATCTTCTGCTTCTTTGAACACATGCATTAATATTTCCAGTAATAGTTGTAATTGACTCTTGTGGGATAAATCATAAATGAATTCACTACTTCACTATTTCCAGTAATAGTTGTAATTGACTCTTGGGTAATTCACTATAATAAATCATAATTAATATTCCGCCCTAATGATAATTACACGACGTGGTTTCTAATTTTTCTTTTGTTTACTTGTTGGTTTGTCTTTTCATTCTGAGTAATGCTCAACCGAGAAGAAAATTAGTCATATTATGATAGTCAATTCTTCGCCTTTCCTATCTCATCCCCTTTTTTCGTCAACCAGATTGTTGAGCTCATTGAACATTGTGCTGTTTTGAGCTTTCTAATTATTGTCATGTAGTTATGATTTTTATTTATCTTACATTCACACTAGCTAGGATATCTTTAATGTAATTCAATACTCCGTTTAGCATTTTTAACTAAATTGGTCTCTGTGGTTCACATCAAAGCTTTCAATAATAATTAAAAGTTCCATTTCAGAAAGTATAACTTCAGAGCTTATTTCCTGCATAAAGTATAGATCTTTCTTGGTCTTTGGTGGTTCCTCTCTCTCTCTTTGAAGAAATCTGCAGTTGCTTCTTTTTCATTCGTGTTTTATATAGCATCAAATTATCATTAACATAAAAGTTCTTCTCTTTGGGTTTTGAATATTGTTATTGTTTGACTGCATGTGCATACAGTAACCTTCTGATGCTCAGACTGTTTCAGGAAGACCGCCCCCAGCTACTTCCATGGGTGTTGGACAATTCTTTAATCCAGATGAAGGGGAAATAGAGTTGACTCCTCAATCAGTGATTCCCATGATATACAGTCAAAAGGTTAAAATTTCTAAATTTCAGTGCTTGACTGGCATTTAACTGCATAATGGACATTTTTAAACTATAAATGGATCTGCTGTAAAATTACTTAAAAACACCGCAGGACATTCTATTGAAAGAAGATCACCCTCTTGCCATCAATATGTGGTTCTCCATTAGCTTAGGCATTCTGCCTGTTACAATGTCTGTTAAAACCACTGGTTGCGGGATACAAAAGTCAGAATTCTCAGCTGATGAGACAGGAGACATGGATATTAGCAGTAAGAATATCTCTACCCCCATGCAGAACTGCCAACCATTTTAAAAAATAGAAAATGAAACTCTGTTGTTCCAAGTTTGTATTTTCAAAACTCGAAAGACTGTATTCTTGTAGTTAAAAATGGTGCTGACAAAACAATCTAGAACCAAGTTCCGGATTTTTTCCAGATGCCTGTGATAGGAACACAGAAAATCTGAGGTTGAATTGTTGGAATATGAAACTGAAATTGAAGAAACGGGAAGGTAACGATACAGTTGAGGCAAGTTCGAGAGTGCCTCGTCTCTCCCAGTCCTATTCCCAAATCCAAAATCTGCCTGCCTATTCCTCCCTTTCCCCCCCTTTTATATACTTTCTATTCTTAAGGACCGGCCCAGACTTCCTAATTACAAGGCCCAAAACATTTATTTATACAATAACACTATTTAATAATACTCTATTATTCTTATTATTATTAGCTGTCCCTGTCCCTATCATATCTCCCCCCTTGAACAACCACCTTGTCCTCAAGGTGGGTGATAGGAAACAGCCTTGATCTGCAACTTCATTTTCTTTCTGATGCCTCTTCCTTCCCAATACATCCCGGGTTTCTGGGCCTTTAACTTCAGTACTTGAGGCTGCATCTTATTGTTCTTCCCTTCAAAAGCTAGTAGAAACCAAGTCATGGTGGCAGAGTGCTCCCTTAGGTTGCAAAAGATTGAATCTCCCAGCAACCGTGTCTCTTCCCTATAGATTTCAGCAACACTGTTCGCCAGAGGTAAAGACGAAAACCACGCTGCCTCATTATTTTCCTTCTCTATGAAAACAATGACTGCATCAATGTAGATCTGATTTGCAAGCTTGGACAATGACTGTCTGGTCAAGTCTACCAATTCATCTCTGTAAGTGAGCCTTCCCGCGAGCCCGGCTCCTCCATCAATGAATAATTTCAGTGCCTTCAAGTCATCCGGTTTAGGCTTCTCAGGTTTGGCATCAAGTGATGAATCCCAGGCAGGAATTTCTACTATGAAATCCTGGTTGTGGTCAGTAATTCCGTCTCTGCAATTGCATACTGTGTGATAAAGTATCTCCCCAGCAGCTTCAACTTGACCAACTCCTTGACCATATCTTCTAGTAGCATTAGTGTCTGCGCTGATGATTCCCTGAAGCTTCCTTACCTCATTTCCTTGTTCTATTTCCTCAGTTTCTTCAATGTGAACAGTCCCTGTAGAGCTCTCCCAAGTGTTTGAACCAGCCGATTTATCAACTACAGATTCATAATCTATGGAGATAGAGGATTGAGTCACCACAGCCGATTTCTCCTCCTTATTGACTAGAGACAGCTCTATCTCTCTTCTGGTTCGGCTGTGTCCTTGATTCCTGAATACCTCATCTTTGTTAGGTATCGTCTGAGAACTGAAAGATTCTCTTCTTTGACCCAAACTGAGAGAGTCAGCTCCCGACAAGGCCGGAGAACTGGGGAGAGTTGCTTGTGACTTAGACCAAACTTGTGAATTGAAACCTCCTGCCAATCTCGTTTCACTTGGAGAAGAAGAATTTCGTGAGTGTGATTGCAAAGACTTCAGCGAACGTATGAGGAATTCAGAAGATGGACTGTAAGAATTTCGCGAGTGTGATTCCTGGCGTTCTGTCTTTCGCATGCCTGTAGGTTGGAAACGCTGCGTTATGGCTTCCTTCATAGTCTCCCAACTCTTGTCTCTCATTTGAGTTTCCCACCATTCAAACCAGTGATACGCCCTTTCTTCCATAGCCTCAGCTGCGACATCAACCTTATCGTTTTCTGTAATAGCATAGAGACAGAAATATCGTTCCATCCTATCCATCCATCTAAAAGCGTCATCACCATTGAAAGAAGGTAATTCCATCTCCCTCCTTGTTCCATTATAACTTGGATGGCCCCTGTGGTAATTTCGTTCCTGATTTGACCAAAAATTGCCAGAATTGGTTTTATAACTTTCCCCCCAATTCTGAGATTTCACTGTTGCAGGTCCCTTTTCTTTTCCAGACCACTTCTCCTCCTCTTTCCTTTTCCCAGAAATTGTATCACTTTTCTGCTCAATAAGTATTGCTTTATCCATGATCTCAGTTAAAGATCTGGATGAATACAATTTCATTTCCGCTTTTATATCCTTCTTCAATCCTGTAATGAAAATACCTTTTAACAAATCATTGTCAATATTCAGTTGAGGCGCCATCACCTTTTCAAATTCCTCTCTGTATTCCTTTACTGTTGCCTTTTGTTTCAAACTGAGTATCGGTCCATATGGCTTCTGAAGCAACTCTGGTTGAAATCTGCGAACAATAGATCTCTTCAAAGCCTCCCAACTTGTTTCTTCTGTCTGGTTCTCCCACAAATGATACCACTTCAAAGCTCTACCTTCCATCCCAACCCTAGAAGTTTCAACCTTCTCTTCTTCTTCGATATGATCAAGTCGAAAAAATCTCTCCATTCGAAGAATCCAGTTGTATACTCCCTCACCATTGAACAATGGTAAGTCAATTTTCGGGCCCATACGTACAGGTATTCTCGCAAAATCATCGTTATGATGGTGAGCATGAGTACTAGGTTTAGCGGAATTATCTCTGGAATGTACTGGACTGTGCGACGATCGCGATCGTTGACCACTTTTATCGCGATTCACACCAGAACGAGACTGATCAGAATGTCTCGCGTCTACCAGTCGCGAAGTGCGATGCGCAGGAACAGTTCGCGATTCCTGTGAACTGGTTAGCGATTGGCGATGCGAAGAGTGCTGCGAGCTGTGCGTTGTGAACGACGGATTCCTCGGTCGATTTTGGTTACTGTTGCTCTTCGCGATTGTCTCCTGTAGCATCGCCAAGTTCATCGCAACTTTTTCCATCGCTAAGTTCATCTGCGCAATCTTAACAGTCTCCAGCGATAGTTGATGCTCTGATACCAATGATAGGAACACAGAAAATCTGAGGTTGAATTGTTGCAATATGAAACTGAAATTGAAGAAACGGGAAGGTAACGATACAGTTGAGGCAAGTTCGAGAGTGCCTCGTCTCTCCCAGTCCTATTCCCAAATCCAAAATCTGCCTGCCTATTCCTCCCTTTCCCCCCCTTTTATATACTTTCTATTCTTAAAGACCGGCCCAGACTTCCTAATTACAAGGCCCAAAACATTTATTTATACAATAACACTATTTAATAATACTCTATTATTCTTATTATTATTAGCTGTCCCTGTCCCTATCAGCCTGTTTCTATGGTTAATACTCAACATTCCTTTGTCAGATCAGAGTATTGTATCTTATATTGTGTGATGAATTGGTCATTTTTCGAATTTATTTTTGAAGTTGCCGTTGAAAGTGATGAAGACTTAATGTTGTGCTAAGTATCTAGGGACTTTGCAGTGTGCTTGTTCTCTTACTAATTGTTGCCTCATTAATAGGACCGAACCAAACACAAATATTCAGTCATATGCTTACATTAGAATATCCAATCTGTTTTAGCGTGATGAACTGGACACTACTATTTTCATGTCAAAATCTATTTTCATGTCAAATCTATTTTCAAATCTATTCTATGGCTTTCATGTCAAATCTATTTTCAAGCCTGAGCCTGAGTAGTGATTCAAAATACCTTTTACAAATAATATTTCTTTGATTCAATGTGTTGCTCAAACTCTCTATTTCCCTGGTAATTCAGGTCTTTGCAAGCTCCGGTGCTTCCCACCTGTAGCTTTGGCATGGGATGCCTCATCTGGGCTTAATGTTTTCCCTAATTTGTACTCTGAAACTATTATGGTGGATTCCTCTCCGGGAGTCTGGAGTTCGAAACCAGGTTCAGAGAAGACAAATGTACTATTGTTGGTAAGTTAAACTGAAACAGTAGTCATTTTGTGGTTCTACTTAACACATTTAATCTTTAGAGTTGTTTTATGCCCTTCTTTGCAGATTGACCCACACTGTTCATATAGAACTAGTTTTGACGTTCCTATCACCACTGCTGCTGGAAGGTTTATACTTTTATACTTTTCTCAGGTAATAACATATTTCTCATTACCTGATGCAGTCTAAACTTTTCCTGATAGTTGGATATGACTAATTGGCTATCATGGTGAAAAGAAATTGAAGTGATGCTTAAACAAGCTATACATAGGTAGCTGGCCACAATTTAAACGATTCTACCCCCATCCTATCCTACAGTTGGATGCCATTTAAACCATCTGTTAGTTTTGGCTCGTAAGTTTAGATTTTTTAAACCATCCGCGCTTCTTTGTTATGGAGCAGCAGTCAGTCCATGCAATTTTGGACGCGATTTTCACTATGGGTCATCCGGAAACAGTCTCTCTGTGCTTTAGTACAGGGGTAAGACTGCGTACATCCGACCCACTATACCCCACCGTAGGTGGGAGCCTTTGCGACACTGGGGTAAATGAAAATGAAATGAAATGAAAATGATTGTTTGATACCTTCAAAATGATTATTTACACGTCTATGGTTATATGTGCTACAGATATTTGGGTTTTCAATTGCTGTTATCTTTTTCGCTTTGATGCGGCAAGCATATGCATGGGAAATTGATCTGCCCATTCCTTCACTTCTTTCTGCTGTCGAGTCAAATTTGAGATTGCCATTGCCATTTATCTCTCTTGCCCTAGTGCCCAATTTTCTGGTTTTGCTACACTCTTACCTATTCTCTCAGCCGCTTGCTTCAGTCATAAGCTTCATTATCATCTCAACAATTTGTTATTTATTTGCAAATGGGTTAATGTTGGTGCTGATTGCGATATCTCTGTTGGTGTTCTATGTAGCTGCAACTGCACATGCTTTTTTCAAGAGACGGTTAGTACTATTGTGTATATGAATGTACTCTCACTTCTCCTTGTACATTATATATGCCCCTAGCCCTTTTTAAAAAGTATTGCTGAACAAAAAATGAGCTAATGATTTACAGGTGGCGGACATTTGAAAACAATGAGCGTTTATACTTTCCCCAACGGTTTCTGAGTCTTTCATGTGCTGTTTTGTCATCTAAGGTAATATGCCATTCTCATTTAATAAGTGTACATGATTCAATTTTTAAACCTCAGATTCTTACAAAACAAGACTGGTTTTGCATATATTCCTTCAATACAAGACCGGTTTTGCATTGTTTTCAAAAATAAAATTGGCAATTGCTCGATTTAAGTTTCAAGCTGTAAATCTTAGCAGCTGAAGCTTGTAGACTCCAGAAAACTGAATTTGTTGAATTTGTTTTGTATAACTATTAAAATTCAAAAAACACATGGAGCCCGTTTGGTAACACAGAAATCGGCTTAATCGCTTGATTCTTCTGAAATTTATGAAGTTCTGGCTAAAGTGGCTGTATTGGCTGATTCTGCTGATTTATGAAAAAATTATATTTAAAAAATATTTTATTATTAAAATAAAGAAAAAATTATATGAAAAAATAGCTAACATGATCATCTACAGTAACTTCATCCAATGCAGCCAGAAAAGTAACTCCAACCTTACTTTTTCTTATTATTACACAATCCAATGCGCGAAATAAAAAGTTGCGTGTTTGGTGAAAAAGTTGGCTGGTAAGCCCGATAAGCCAAAAAAACATGCTCACCAAACGGGCTCATGGATTGGTGATTTATTCTGATCTTTTATGCCTCAAGCAGGTGGTGAGGATAATAACATCCAATCCTTCATCTGTTATTGCTCTGGTTGCCTTTCCACTTGTGTGCCTCGTTCATCCTGCATTGGGTCTCTTTTTGTTGCTTTCATCTCATGCTGTCAGTTGTCACAATGCTCTCTCAAGGTAGGTACTTCCAAGCCAAGGTTTGTCTCGCCTGATGTTTGGTCTTGGCTTGAATACTTTAAATCACTGCACTAAAAACAATTGTTCTTTTTGTAAACAGTTTTTTACTGGCCTCATTTCGCAGTCATGTACAAACTGAAGAGTCAAGAGGAGGGTCTGGAGATGGAGAAATGAGTAAATACAAGCAACACATTCCCAAGTATAATGGTCAAAGTAATAAACTTGTCCCCCTGAAGGAAAATATTTCTAGTGGCCTGGAAAATGTGAAAAGCTATGCTGAAACACAGTTGGAGATTTTTCACCACCGACATGGCCTGCTTATCTTGCATTTGCTTGCCACGCTAATGTTTGTTCCCTCGCTTGTGGCCTGGCTTCAGGTATGCAATTTTTTTATTATCTTTTCTTCCATTTCTTGTTTGGTCACAAGTGGCGATGCAAAACCTAGGACCTATGGTTTTCACCTGAAAAAAGGTTGACGTGAAAGGAATTCTGATTTGGTCTAAATCTTTCTGGTCCAATTTAATCCAAGTATTTTTTATAGATCTATTTAAAATAAGAATAAGTAATAAGAAAAAGGTGAAGAAAAATTTGGTAGGCAATTTCCCTGTCTTATGAGCAAGTTTTTTTTTCCTAAGCCCAACTTATGTCATTGCGTTGGTTGAAATAGGCTGCTTGATAAAAAGCGGTACATAAATTACTTTGGGCTGAAATTGCTTAGATGAATGATTATGTATTTCAACCTTCATATTTCTATATTATTTTTTTAAAAACTCATTTTAAATAAATGATTTAGATAATTCAACAGATTCAACCTCCCACCACAATTTCACCCTATTCAGGCAGCCAAACTTGCCATTTCAGGTCTTACCAAACATACTCATCATTGTTCTAAGGGTATAAGAACCATGCAGTGTGCTTCTTCTCTTACTGATTGTTACTGTAAATAGGACAAGAAAACCACTCACAAACATGACATAGCAGTACAACACGTTGAAAAATGCCCCCACGATCAATTTTTATATGTAAAAAATGTCGTACTTTTTTATTCATAATTCGGGGCATACTTGCTATTTGTTCCTGGGCGGTTGTATTATCATTTCTTATGCTGTGATTCCTTGCATGGACAGAGGATCGGAGTTGGTCAGAGCTTTCCATGGTTTTTGGATTCTATACTGATTATTGGTGTTCTGCTACATGGCATTTGTGATCCAAGGCCCGAATTCAACTTCTTCTTTCCCTTTCCAGGCTTCAAAGGGCAGTGGGAGATAAAACTAAGCTTAGCATATATTCTTGCTGGATATGCATCGTACCTTTCCGGTCTGGCCTTGAATCCGTATAGCACATTCTATGCGATAGCCACCGTGGGGTTTGTTTCATTTGTTTTCAGGGTTATACAAAGAGACAAGGGCAGCAACCGAAAGCACTCTCATCATAGACAATAACTAACAGGTTTTGTTAAATGATCAATGTATGACGATTCACTAAACTTTCATAGTTTCATGCCACAATTTTGCAATGGTAATGAGTGATTACACAAGGTTTGTACTGAAGAAAGCAATGCACCATATAACTTAGAGTAGTAAGGGCAGGGACAGGCTGGTTCTGGACCAGCTGGTTCCTGGTCCGACACAATCTATACCCGTAACCAAGACAAGTAAATTTGAGTACCAGTCCCAAACCGGTTCCTGTTCCTGCTCCAAACTGATTTTTAGCCAATTTCTGAAAAAATGCAAAAGAGGATCTGTAATCGGCCAGTTCAAAGCATTATACACATATGAACGGGAACCGTACCCAGCTTGGACCCATTCCGGGTAACGATTCCGTTCTGGTTCCCATTCAAATGGTCCCGGTTTGGGTCATTTAACTGCCCGATTCCAGCGGGGTTCCGGAATCGGGCCCCTCCTATTGAGTACATATATTCAATCAATGATCACACACAAATTTTAGGTGTAGGAAATTATTGAGGTTTCAAAACCATGAGTGATATTGTTGTTGCTCATCTTGCCATGGCAAGCCGCCGCTGAATGTGTGAAGTACTTGGTCTTTCAGGCCGGTGTCTATGACCTCACAGAATCGGCTTGACCAGTCTGGAGGTTCAATTGCTCTGGTTCCTAAGCCAGGTGCTCGATCTTTAGAGCCTGTATTCTGATCCTGTTTCCAATCAGACACATAGGTAGCCACCCTCCTATGGAACTTCTCCTTAAAGACTTGCCACACCTGGTACTTGTAGTGGTTCACCGCCATCAAGCTTGTGTCTATATTAACATATCTGTATTCTGGGCTCAGCCCGAAGTGGTGGACCACATTCATCAATGTGGGGTCCAATGCCCGCGGTCGGACTATACTCTTGTGCCTCTCGGCCTGTGCAAGCCGGCACGTGTAACCCACAGTTACTCCTTGTTCTGGGACCTGTTTGAATCCTGACGGGCCAAAGCTATGGCATGGGACCCGCAACTCAGCAATAGAACTAGGTTGCTGTGTTAGAACGTGCTGGATAGATGTTCGAGCCGGCAAGTAAAAGAATTCGTCCACATCTATGAACCCAACCCACTCGCACAAGTCTCTTGCTCGAAGTGCACAATGGGCGAACCCAGACTCTTGGCTTTTGATCCAAGGCCACACGTGTCGTGTGACGTTGTATGATGCCTTTAATGACTGAAGTACGTCCTTGATGTTGTCGTTGCTGTTGTTATCGTAGATGAACCAACGTTGCACCCCTATCTCAGCATGATACATTATCCACTCTCGCAGGAACCGTGCTTGGTTCATTAACATGGTGCAAACGCACATGCTGTGCTTTTTCCTCCCATCCATCAGGCCAGGGTCTTTTAGTTTGACCTGGGGCCGGGCCACAGAGTCCAATGGTCCTTTCCCAACCATCCTAACTGAAACCTTAATGGTTTTAGTGTCAAACCTCGTTAAGCTGTTAAGTATGCTTGGAGGTGTTTTACACCGTACAACTTCTTGTGCGATCGACACGACGTTGGAATGGAGCATGCGTTTCGGGTTCTTGAGATCCCAACCATAGACACACCTGAATTTGGATGGATCAGATGTCTTTCCACCCCTTAGATGGAAGCCCTTCACAAATACAACTGTTGTGTTGTCCCGGTCAACAACTGCCTCATAAGCAAGCGAGTCCCAACTATATGTGGGTCCTGCCGGTAGATAGTTACGGTGCGGCTCCATCTTCACAGCAAGGGACACCGAAGAGCCATGTGGTGGAACTTCGCACCGTATAATCTGGCGGCCGGAGTGCTCATCATCAACTGACTTGGGTGGAGCTGGTGAAGTAGTGTAGCCTGCTGGAGAAAAGTAAACGCAGTCAAGCTCTCCCCTGGTAAATAGCCTCGTTAACTGGGGGTATTTTAGGAAAAGGAGTGCCTCATCCGGGGTTATGACAGTTTCTTGAATTGAGACCTTTGAAAAATCAGACGAGTTGCCGGAGACCACTGCCAACGCTGTAGATGCATCACCCCAAGTCGTCACCAGTCGTGGACAATGGTACCCTGTTAGTTGTTCAACAAATTAATTATTTTATTACGATTGTTATTAAATCATCCTTCACGCAAGCAATATTTAATTATTTCTTTTCCTGCTCAAGGAAAGAAAAAACAAAAACTGTAATATAAACTGAATTAATTAATCACGGAAGGTTTGGAAAGTACCTAGAAAGAAGAGGCGGCTAGGGGAGAAAGCAAAGCTGGAGAAGATGATGATGACAAAAATAGAGCATAAGAAAAGCTTGCATGGATTTAGCTGTGTAAATGACGACAAAGCCCCTCTTCTGCAATTTTTCACGACGGAAGTCATCCTATAAAAGTACGTCAAGGCCGCCGATGATCTTTCCGACCACCAACAATCTTCTCCTGCGTGTGAGATATTATATATGATGAATCAATCATTCAATCCTATTATAGCTTGTGGGTGCTTCACAAACAATTACTGTACCACCATATACTAGTCTTATAGTGATATCATATCATATTATATATATATATATATATATATATATATATATATATATATATATATAGATAATCAGAAAAGATAGTCAAACATTTAGATTTAAGCACAAGTTTTGAATTGCTCTCTTACCTATTCTTTTCTCTCTCTAGAAGTCTCCTTTCAATACGAAAAGAACCTTTGTCGTGGTGTATTCTTATACCATTGGAGTTTGACACTTACGATCACCGACGGCGGCTCTACCTTCCCAGCATGAAATCAAGGTTTATGTAACTTTTCGGCGAAGACCTAAGAGCCCCTTCTTCTAATAACTTTATTTATACTAGTTCCTCTAGTTCAAACGTGTTTAATTTGGTCTTTGTGTTATACTAGTACTAGGTATAATTTAGTGCAATCAAAGACAATTTAATTTAGACCACGTTGACAATTTCCGTTACATCTTGTTGTGTAGCGTTGATATCAATTACATGTTGGACTATGATTTTGATTATTAGGAATTTTATTACTATCCCGTCCCACTAACATTGAGACATGAGATGGTGTTACAAAAATGTGAATTTATCTGGTTGCTATTGAATTAATAAATAAAATAGGGATAAAGTATGAATAGTTTAGAGTCATACAAACTTTATCAAATTTGATATGAGAGAATCATAGTGGGACTTCTCTAAAAGGAAAAATGGGAATATTTTAGTGGGACGAATGGAGTATAATACTACATCCATCTCGGAAAATACTTCCTGGATGCCAGAAGTATACCAAATATCTAAATATCTAAATCAAATCTACTCGAACTAAAATAAAAACAAGTACTATTAAAGGAAAAATAACATTCCTTTCCACAAATTTTTTCTTGGAACGATGGTGGCTTTGGAGGAGGATGAGTTACCGCAATATGAATGAATACCAATTTTTTTTTCTTATTTCATTCCGAATAGACGTAAAAACAGTTAGCGTAAAAAGTAATGTTTATGTCTCTACCAATTTCTCTACGTAGCCCAAAAGAAGATCGAAATCCCTTGCTATAGAAAGCTAGACGGGGCACCAAAGTAACTCCTCACTCGAAGGGAGACAAAACACACTAGAATACCGGTGCACGAGAAAGAATCATCATAGAAAAGAACAAACACGACAATAAAAGAACAGTCAAGTAGGGTCATAACCCTATCAAGAATCTCCAAGGAAGATGTTAATGACTGCTGCCAATTATCATCACTTTGTAACTGCTGATTTGGGAAAAGATGATTGCTCGCTAGGGGTTATTGTGGCGGTTGACTCTCAAAATGACTGCCTCTTTGAGTTCCATACTTTTTAGAGACATTAATTTTATCGGAGAAGCAAGGATTTTAATCTTTCGGAAATTACATCTGGGTGGCGACAAGAAGATCAATCACGAAATTCGAATATAGATCGGATGGTGAGGATCAACGAATATAAATTTTATACTTTTATAAAAATACTTTAAACAAAGAACATTTTCATACCATTTTTAATATTATAAATAATTTTCAATAAAAGTATATAGTTAGTCAAAATTTCAAATATGACGAAGTTTTAAGGGGTGGAAGAAATATTATTTTTCATTTTGATGCTATTTTTTTAAAATAAATGGTAAACATGCATGACTTAATTATGCAAAGAATCTCCACTAAGCCAATGGAGGGAGAAAGGGAGGCGTCCAGAGGGGCTGAAATTGCGGGGCAAACGGAGGTTGCGCGTCAGGGAATCAATCAAGCGATGGACGGGAGTTGTGTCTTGTTTGTGTCAACAATCATAGCGATGATCCGGCCTCCTCCTAAACCACCGTCAGGGAATGAACGAGGTGCTAGGGTTCAAGATACTTGTTTTGTTTATTTAGTTTTTTTCTTGTTTCGTCCTCCTCCTATTAGTTTATATTATTTTATCATTTGGTTTCTTGTTACCGTCTATGTTGTTAGGTTTGTCAGTTTATTTGGGAATTTAGTCTCCTTTTATGTCATTGGGTATGTTTGGATCTATGGGAACATAGATGGTTGTGTCAAGCCTGCTGCATGGTTAGCGATTCGTGTTGCACTTTTAGGGGTGATCATCTCTAAGTCTGATCATAGGGTTTACAGTCGTAGTTGTTGGAGTTTAGTTGGTATCAGATTTGTTTTTCCTTTGATTGATGTAATGATCCTGAAACTTATTATATGAATAGAAGCAAGTTTCCGTTCAAAAAAAAGGATCTCACACAATTACTAGCGCTCGGATCCCATGAAGAGTGAATCACTTTCGTAAGAGTCATATGATTTGTCCATTCAATTTTTATTAATTCTATAAATTGATTTTTTAGAGATGTGCCTCTCAAGGACCCCTCTCGTTTAACCGTTAATGACAGTTTGACGACACGATTTTCTTATAGAAATTGCTCCGAAAAAGAATAAAAATATTTTGAAATTTTAAAATAGGATTTTTGATAAGTCTATTTTTGTACTTATTTTTCTTATCAAGATTAAGCGATTTTTGTATAAAAAATAAAAAAAACAAGGCACGTTTTCGATATTTTGATTCAAGTTTCATGAATTCAAGTGAAAACTACGGTCATAATATGTTTGGTGAAATTTCATGCCAATTGGGCACAAAATGAGTCAATTTGAGTAATAAATAAATCCATATGTAAAGAGTAAGCAGAATTTCAAAGTGGTCGAGAAGGGAAAGTTGAAGAGCAGAAAATACAGAACATGACGGTCAAAGAAGCTCGCAGGCGGTCAAGTAGGCGGCCAAATCTGACCACCCTCCAGGCCGCCTATGCTATTTTTGGAAAGTCAACTTTTTGGACTTTGACCGAACCCGGAAAAGACCGAAGGCTGCCGACACCCCACGAAGGGCGGCCGCCCTCGGTGACCGCCTACGGCACAAGACGACGAAGCCAACCACCGTCGGTGCGAAAAGATGGCAGGCGACCAGATAGAAACGGCAGGCGGCCACCCTCCGTGACCGCCTGCGGTGAAGTTGATGTTGTCGGTAAAAAGACGGCAGGCGGCCGGATCAGGCCGAAGGGCGCCCACCCTCCAGACCGCCTGCGAGATGTTTTGTGCTATAAATAGCCCGACTTTTGCTGAACTCAAACACACCATCTCACACCCAACTCAGATCAAAAGGGATGTCTTCTTCCTCCTCAAAGCTCGGATTTCCACCATTGTTGGACCTTCAACTTCAATCTTTCATATCTTTCTCATTTTAGCTCCAATTTGTAAGTTCTTTATATGAAAATTTATCTTCTCGTCGTGTAGATTCTGAATATGTTGTTTTTATTTTCCAAATGTTAGTGAAACATTCTCTGCATTAATTTTAAGAGTTTCGTATTTTCCATATTTATTCAAGAAAAATAGTTCTTGTTGTTATATTAATCTCCTACTTAGATAAACTCAATACCTAGTATAAATGATGATTATTTGTGACAGAAATAAAAGTTTAGATGTTGGGAGTATTCACTTTAATATTTTATTTTGTTCTTATGATTTATGATCATGTCTTATTTTATATGTAAAGTGTTAAAACTAGTAATGAGTTGTTGTAGTTAATTTACTATTGGGAGTGAGTTGAATTAAAGAATATGGGTTGACCTTGTTTGACTGAAAATTAGGAGTTTAACTAATGTTATGGACTAATTGTTTAAAATGATTAATTTGATTACTTAATAGATTTGGTCATTTCATTATTAAACTGGAAGATTATATAACTCGTCTATGAGATTATAAATAGTTTAAGCCAAACATATTGAGCACATCAATGAAGCCTAGAGATAGGATAAATTAATGGATAGAATTTAATCTTTGTCTATGAGGAATAAATTCAATTGTTTAATATGAAAAATTTAATTAATTCATGAATTTGACCATTTTGTTAGCTAAAATGCGGAAAGTTATATCTATCTTGTCTATGAGATTAGAATATAATTTAGGTCAACCATTTTAAACACATTAATGAAGCCTAGAAATAGGTTAAATTAGTGAAAGTAACTTAAATCTTGTCAATGAGAAAAGAAATTACTAGTTCAATCTTTAGTTATAAATACTCCTAATTATTAGGTCCAAGCTAAAAGGATGTACTCATATTTTATAATTTAATTCATTGCCCTTCTTTGATCAATCCATTTAGAGTTTAATATTATATTTTTCATTTAGTTTATTTTTTATCCATCATTAGTATTTGCATAATTTAATTTACTTTCTTTTTCAAAAAGTAGTTTAGAAAATCAATCAAAAGATTTAATTTGGAAAACTTCCAATAATTTGCGATAACCTGTGACTGAACTTAAAATCAAGAAACCTCTCCGTCATTCCTCAAAAGACACGATACTCGGGGAAAAACCGAAAGGTTAGACTCCGTTTACTACAACGCCGCGTAAGCGGTTATCAATCTTCATATTTTTATTCTCTGGATAGGAATAACTTCTGTCAAGTTTGATTTTTTTTGATAGAAATCACTCCTATTTAGGAATAAAAATATAACAGTCATATTTTAGAATTTTGAAACTTGTTTTACTCCTATTTAGGGATTTCTCCAATTTCTTACTTTACCGCCAACCAGTGCGAGTAATGCGGCAAGAGAGAGTAGGAAAAGAGATGGGTGGAGCCGTGGAGGTAGATGAGGAAGCCTGATCGTGGGGTGACATGATTTTATTCCCTGTGGCTTCAATTCTTTTTATATGTTACTAGTACACAAATGAGATGAAATGGAATGTCGGGTGGCTGGTGTGGAATAGGTGACGAGGCAAAATTGGATTACGAGAAAAATACGGAAATAAGTTTAAAAGTACCTTTGTAAATAAAGTTCAAAACTACTCCCATTTGGGGAAAAACTTCCATATTAATGTGGACATCTACATATAACAAGGAGGCTGCTAATAAGAAGGAAGGGATGACGGGGGATGGAATTTGGATCGGATGGAGTTGGATGGGTAGAAAGGAGGAAGCAAATCAAAACAAAAAATATAAGAGTGGAGGAAGAGGGAGGGATGGATTGTAAAACTGGAGTGGAGCTGGAGATGGGTGATCCAAAGAACGTAAAAGCTATCTTGCACGGAAACACAAAAATCATGAGGAAACGAGAAACGTGAACTTTTGCTCAAAAAGGTTTATTTGGAGAGTTTTCAAAGAATTTTCGTAGATTTTTCGAAACGAAAACATACTCTTTCTCGAGAGTTTGTATGTACATAGAGTAAAAGTGGTGGATATGGATGACATACTGACTTACTGAGCCTACATGAAGGCATACTAAAGTTCAGGGGAATCTAGTTTCTAGTATTATACTTGCCAAGTGCAAGCAATAAAGCTCTTAGAGACGATTTAATGATCAAAGCTTTTGCA